TATCAATGCATCTACTGCATCCAAACTTGTATTTTGTATTTGACCTTGTCCTAAACTCCCACTGATGCCAATGGGAACTCCATGTGTAACAAGGTCTTTTATTCTGGCTGTCAAATCTTAGTATTTTCAAAATATTGACTTGGGCAGGAGTTGACATAATTCACATTTGGGGCTTTACTCTGAAGCAGTTGAATTCCATTTGAAGTAGAGTACCAGCCCCATAAACCCATCTCTAAAAATCCCACTCCAAAAAGAGGATTAGTGTACGTGTTGCATTTGCTCCCTTTTTTCCATAACATTTTAATGCCTCAGGGATTGAGTTTCACTAGACACAGTGGGAGAATCCTGGTACATCTGGTTTCCCTGTGGTCTTACATGATGACTGAACAGCCTCACAGCTTTTGCAGTCAGGTTCCCTATGGGCTCACACTGTGATTAGATTTGTTCACCACAAATATATCCTTGTTTGCAATGAATTGAGCTTCTGTTTATGCATCCCATTTGCAACTAGGATTTCATAGAATCATACAGTAAATTAGGTTGGAAAGGACCTCTGGAGGTCACCTTGTATATTTCTGGGCTCGGACTCTTCCCAAAGATGATTTCTGTTTTCCCTTTTTTTTTTGGATGGACAATTCAGAATATCCTTTCATCTGACAGTGTCCTCTGCTTTTATATTTCTCCTGTATGTACTCACCTCAGATCACATGGATGCTGTATTTTAAAAGAATATATACTGGGTTTTTAAAAATTAGATGTACCAACAATATTAAATTTTGAAATGTGAAATCTCGCACAAAGGTTAAAAATGTATCAGCCACACATCTGACACACAGATGATACCTCATCATCTATTTGGCTTTTTTCTAAGTAGGAGATGAATCTATGCAGCAAGAGGGTAGCAGTGGCCTGGGCATGCATTTGGCATGCAGGGAGACACAGCTGTCTGTCGCTTCCTAGGCAGAATTTGAGGTTAGCCAGATTCTGTGCATCAGGACAGCCTGCTGCCATCCCTGGCATGGGGGATGGTTGTGGCAAAGTTATATGGGATTCAGAAGGCAGCATGGTCACCCCTTTAGAAGAGTTTGAATTCAGTTTAAGACAAAATGTTTTGAGCTGACTTCATTGAGATTCACACTAGAGCCGTAATTATTACAAATAATATGCACTTGTTCTCTAAAAAGTACTTTTTGTTGATTTTTAATATAAAATATATTTTTGTGATCTATGTTTTTTTTCTGCAATACTGTATTGTATTTTGCAAATATGAGAGGATGTGTGACATTTAGTGCTGAATAGTGGTTTCTTGTTGGCTACTGCTCCACATATACAATCAATATCCTTAATTTTATTTTTTATTATTACTTTTTACGAAAAAGGACTTCTTTTTTCAGTAGATATATACTACTTTATAGATTATATACTGTCTGCAAATACTGGATAGACTGTTGGAATTTGATCACAAATGGCATTTCTGAAAAGATCGCAGTTTTGAAAAGCTTAATTGTTCCTTGCTTTTCATGCAGATGCTGAAATAAATATGTGCTGTTGAGGAAAAATGAGTCAATATGGCTTCTGCTGATCTTCCAGGTCATTTGATAAGATAAAAATAAAATTCAAAACTGCTACCATGAGACTTATGAAGAATCGTGTTAGGTTAAAGACTGAGAAATAAGTGCAGGTATTGAGCATATACCATATCAGTTCAGAAATATGTTACAGAAAATGTCCTTGAAAAGTTCTAAAATTAAAGACATTCTCATTTCACAGGTAATTAATGAAATGGGAAGTGAACAGATTTTGATAAAGTGACCATTTTCTTCACTTTAATTCTGATGAGATTAAAATCGGTCATGTTTTAGAATGGTTGATTTTCTGTGACAGGGTAGGGAATGACATGGAGTTATATTATTATTAGCACTATCACAGTGTGTGCAATCAGCTGCACAAACAGAAGAATGGAAAAACAGAAGAAAAAGACAGACCCTTCTCTTCTAAGTTTTACGGAACTGTGGTGCTCTGCAGTGTTTTAGCTCCGTTCAGGAAAAGAAGGTAATTTTCATGCTTTTATACTTGCCAAGTGGAGCGTAGCAGTATGAAGATGTATGCAAAATTGTAGTGCCTTGAATGAATGGCAGCTGAGAAAGCTGCCAGTACTGTTGGTTCCAGTTGAAATTTCTAAGAAAATGACTAGTGAGGAGGAACACGGCCAATACAGGAAGACTGAAGCAGAACATGAACTTTAACCCAACCCAGCAGCAACATCTAGTTTTCTGCATCAGTGTGCTTGTGGACACAATTCTCTCTTCCCTACCTCTAATGTTTGCAGCTCCTAGGTCTGAAAGCACTCTGCTTTCAGGCCTTCACTTATGTTGTGTAATACACCTTCAGCAAATCTGCTGATGACAGCAAGCCGTGTTATGGAGATTACCACCAGAGGAAAGGGATGCCTTTCCAGAGATCTTGACAGGCTTGAGTAGTAGTCCCATGTGAACCTCATCTCGTGAAGTTCAACAAGGCCAAGTACAAGGTCCTATACCTGGGTTAGGGCAATCCCAGACATATCTACAGGCTGAGTGGACAGGTGACTGAGAGCAGCCCTGCAGAGAAAGACTTGGAGGTAATGGTTGGTGAAAAACTCAACATGAGCCAGCAGTGTGCACTTGCAGCCCTTAAAACCAGCTGTGTTTTGGACTGTATCAAGGAGTGTGGCCAGCAGGTCAAAGGAGGTGATTCTCCTGTTGTACTCTGCTCTTGTGAGACCCCACCTGGACTACTGGGTACAGTCCTGGTGCTCCAAACAGAAGAAGGGCATGGAACTCTTGGACCAAGTCAATGGCCAACTCTTGGCCATGAAGCTAATGACTGGAGCACTTCACCTAAAAGACAGGCTGAGAAAGTTGGGGCTGTCCAGCCTGAAGAAGAGAAGGTTGCACAGATACCACATAGCAACCTTTTAATATCTGAGGGGGACCTAAAGGGAAGCCAAAAATGGACACTTCATCAGAGTAATGGGTACAAACTGAAAGAGGGGAAATTTAGTTTAGATATTAGGAAGAAATTTTAACTGTGATGGTAGTGAGACACTGAAACAGGTTGCCCAGGGATGTGGATGCTCCAACCCTGGCAGTGTTCAAGGCCAGACTGGATAAGGCCTTGAGCAACCTGGTTTGGTGAGAGGTGTCCCTGCCCATATGGCAGGGAGAGTTGAGACTAGATGGTCTTTAAGGGCCATTCCAACTGCTTAACACTCAGTGATTCTATGATTCTATGGGTCTCTTTTCTTAGCACACTAAAGGGACATTTTGTTTTATTTTTCTCATGAAAATCTCTGTTTTGATCTGATCAGATGAATATACCAGAAACAAAAGACTGTTAAATGTCTAGTATGCCTGTACCTTAATATGACAGAGCTTCCCACACATTTTCAAGTTCCATTACAGAGAAACTGAGCTGAGGAAAGGTTTGGAAATGTTTTGAATGCCTATATAATTTTATTGTTCTTTTAATTTTAGTTCAAGAAATATGTACTTTTATGTTATTTACCATATCATACCTGGTATGTAAATTCAGGCTGCTTGCTGGAAAACTTTTTTTCCAAATGTAATATTTGGTGTTACTGTGTATTAATGTGAACTGAAAATCTTTCTAATTTAAAAACTGATTATGTTCTTTAAGAATTGAACATTTAACAATATAGTCAGTGTCTAATGTATTAAAAACTTGTCACTTGAAAGTTCTGGACATTGACTTCAGTAGTTTGGGTCCCATTCATCAGTAGTCACATCAGATCTTGCCCAATATGTTTTGCTGCATTTGGTTCTGAATTAGTAGTCTCACTTTCTTCATCCGGTGAACAACACATACTTCCTGTTGACTTCAGTTCATTTACTATTTGTTCAAGTGTAAATTGGGAAGACAACCAGACTTAAGGTCTCCTTTTCATCACTCCTAACAATCTTACCATTATATCAGTTTATATCTGCCAAACCTTTCATCAGGTGTAGAAATGAATGGAAAGGTTACTTCTGTAGCCACATTAATAATTACGGCATTTACCATTTAGTGTAAATCGGTTCATCCATTTAGCCATGTTTATCTTGTTATAAACAGTGAACTCCACTTCTCACACAGCTTATGTAAAGAACATTATGCAAAGAGGAACCAGGGCTTCAGACTGTGTTTAACTGTGTCTAGTCAGTACACGAGTCTGGGCTAGTCCAGGGACAGCTCCTATGGAAAGGCATAGTGGCTGAGAACCACAAGCACAACACACTCCAGAAAACTCAGTGAGTATCCTGGAGATACCAACTGCTTCCTGTGACTCCATTGTAAGACAGTGATTCTCCTTCTACTTTGCTCCAAGGATACAATTGGGATGTAAGCATTAATACCTGTAAACATATAAAGGTCCTCAAATGGAAGATGTCATAGAACTGCCAGGCCTCACAATAGTATTAAAAGCAGCATCACCAGCAGCAGCAGGATTTATCTGAGTAGGAGACAGTGGTTTACCAGTGTTCACACACCTAGAGAAGCAAGTGCATTAAGAACTGTGTGAAACCTTTGTTTTCCAGCCCCAGGTACTGCTGTACACAGCAGAATGGTAAGGCCTAGCTAGTGTGCAGCACTTGAAGGTATGTCAGAAGTGAAGGCCATCTGTCTATTCACTAAGACTGTACATAGACTGTTAAATATTTTAGGATGGCTTTTTTTTAGCTACACTATTGTTAAAACATATGGAAATCATAGCAGTCAAAAACTACTCTTTCTTGTCCTGCAGGTTTTTTTTATCAGAGGGTAGGTTGTGTTTGTTAAGAGGCAGACATTGTCAGGCTGCTTCTACATTCCGCTCTGAAAAAAGCTACTAATAGTACTAGCTCAGTGCACAAAGCGAACTGATTTGTGCAATAGCTGAAACCCTGTAAGAGCTAGAACCCTGTTTTCACAAAATGCTGGGATAAAACTAGCTCTTAAAAAACTTCAAATAACTAAAGCAATAGAACATATTATTTTATTAAAAGAAAAAAAAAAACCAACAAAAACCAAACCAACAGAAAATGGTCTTTTATATCTTTGTGTCTCCAGCTAGAAAACTGACATAAATACCTTTTCTGTTATAAAAGCAACTATGTAAGATATGTTGAAAATTCATAGCCAAAAGGAAAAATAAATACTTCAAGTTTTCCTTGTACCAGTCAAACAGGATTCATTGCAACTACAAGCTGACTGTATGAAAGTAAGGCAAGTGCCCTGAAGTGCTTCAAAGTAACAGTTACTGAAATGGGATAAACAAGTAGTAGGACCATGAGAAGTACAATCATTACACAAATGTTAACTGAAATTATACCTTATGATACATTAGTTCATAAAGTTATCTAACATAAGCAAGAGTAAGTAAGAAAATAATAGTCAACAGAATAAATTCCAACAGTTTCAGTCACTTGTGTCATCTCAATTTTCCTTTTCATAAGAATTATTCCATCAAGCTGTTGACAAATCATATGTCAAAGTTTATTAAGACAGAGGAGAAACAAGGGTATCTGATTTTACACTCAAGTAATTGACAAATGCAAGTCTTTAACAATAAAGCTTCTATCAGAACCCAGGAAACAAAGCCATTATGCTGTGCAAACACCTTTCCATGAAGTACATACAGCTTTGGGCGAATAATACTATTTCTCATATTTCTATTGCCTGAAGATAATTAACTCTGTTAAAATTTTGTTCTCCTGCAGTAAAACTGTTGCCCAAGTATGTGAAACTATTGCCAGGGATCTTTTATAAGGTATAGATAAAGGAGTCTGTGAAAATCTGCTTGTGTTAAAATGTATTCTATTGAAAGAACAATACTTAATATTTTTCTGAAAAACTGGAAACAATTTTTAACTTTGGAAGCTATAAAGTGAATTGAGTGGCAGTTTTGTGGGGGATTTTATTGGGTATTTTTGTTTTGTTTGTTTTTTGCCTTTTTTTTTTTTTTGTTTAGCTAAGCTGGAACATCACAGATCACACTTCAATCTGTGCTTTCACCCATGTAGTTGAACACGAACAGGATCATCTACTGCTGCTACACAGCTTTCAAAGGTGATACTCCTGTCTGAAGCTCCTCTTAGGGCTGTAAATTTCATTTCTACACAGTAATTGTGCATTCTGTCCCTTTCTTCCAAAAACAGCAGAAATGCAGGATCAGGATCTGGAGGACATGATCTGCCCACCCAATTACTTACATAAGACCTGCCCATAGCCATTGCTTTGTGCTCTACTGAACAGAGGCACAGAGGAAGTGGAAGAATAGTATCAAAACACATAACTCGGAAAGATAAAAGCCAAGACTTCTAGCAGAGAGTGGCAGTGTCCACAGTACAAGATCAGAAGGAAATTCTTTGAGCTGCGGAGAGCTCATCTTTCACGCTCCTTATTCTGCTGCTGTTACAGATTGTGTTCCTTGGCGCAAGCTAGAACACCCTAACAAGTCAGACATAACTTGTGACAGACATTCTTGGCTGAGCCATTTCACCTTTGGTACTTAAAGAATAGGTCCTTGACATACTACTGTCTTTCAACCATATACCACACAATCTAACTGAACATGAACAAAAGACTATTTACATCTCCCATTTTGCACCAGGATTTTTTACTTTGGTTTTGGTGCTAATCTTCTGTGGAAGTCATCTGCATCAGTTAGAGAAGACTAAATGTTTAGCTAGCAACATAGGTTTGTCATGAGAAATACGCAAGAACAATGGACTAATTAACTAAACCCAGGATTTTAGCAAGTTCTTTCTACATTGTAAAATAAACATGTGCACAATGGTCTTCTAATGCAGAAATACACAGAATTCCTCATCAGAATAGTTAAGTCTTCAGTTCTGGAGAAAAAAGTGCAAACACCAAATGAACTAAGCCTTAAACCTAGTGTGCCTGGATAAAAGCTGAGTACAAAAAATAAACGAGACAAAGCCCATATCCGTAATCTGATTTTACATAGCCTTACATGTACTTTTCTGTGAAATATATGTTAAGTAAAAATGGTGATCTCATTCCTAGGTAGGAATAGGCTACAGGAGTGGCATATTCTAAAATAAAAATATTCTAAAAGAAAAAAAAGCCATTCATGTTTCCTTAGTTCTCTTAAGTTTCATCCATGTAACAGCAGAAGTGAGCTGTGAGGTGTTAACTGTCATTACAGAGAACATGAGCATGAGCACACAAGTTAGAGCAGTCTGCCCACTATCTAGCTAGTTAAGACTAATTTCAAAACTCTTGTCATCTTGACTGGAAAATTAATAGCTGCTTCCTCCTGATTAAACATTGAAACCAAAATTATGGAACTTGCTGATGGCCTCACACACATGCTAAATTTATAAACTTTTACTGTGAGCCACTCTTCTACTGTGAGCCACACTTTCCCATTCAAAAAGTTTTTTCCCTTTTCTAAGGCAATATGTAATCACAAACAATATAAAACGATCTTCTTGTAATGAGGACAGATTGTACAAATCCCTTTTACTAGCAGAGTCTTGTACAGTCTTGACTCTGTTGTACTGAACAGTAAGAGGGGTTTGCAAAAATATCTACTACGTATTCCTTTAGAAGTTATCCAGAACCAAAGCTCAGTCTTACACCCAGCCCCAAGCTGTGTTCAGAAATTCACTTCATTGGAGCATTTTCCTGAAGTCACTGCTGCCCATTCCTTCTCCTTGCGTACCAGCCAAGGCAGGCGCAGAATCCAACAACAGTGACAGCGAGGCCTAGGAGGAAGGCAATGGTATCTCCTGCGTCCAGGGCTTCAACTACTGGCAGCACCAGCAGCAGTGACATGAGGACCAGGAAAAGTTTTGAGGTGTTCTCGGTTGAAGGCATGCTGACAAGCAGCTGACCCCAAGGGGAAATTAAATGAAGAAAGTGGTGGACAGCACGTACTTCACTGGTATCTACAAGGAAAACAAAAGGAACATTACATGATTTTCTTTCCTCCTCCCCTGGATTTGTCTTGCCAAAAGCCAACTGATTGATGCATTACAGGTATCTGTGTGGGGCTTGTGAAATTTAGGTTTTACCTTCCCAATTACAAAAGCAAGTGACTTGTTATCGTGAGACAACCACAGTGGATTTGCCATTTTGTTATGTAACTCTGTGGAAACTAATCTTTTGAAGACTTACCGTGAGGTAAAGTCAGAACAGGCTCTCCTGCCTGCAGCCACCAGAGCCTGCTTACCTGGAGCCTTGCTACACGGGCCTGTTTCACCGGGTGTTTGGGGCCTGATGGCTGCTGCACATCACTCACCCACACTTCCTAACACCGGGCATCCTCGGGATCCGTGAGCATGGACAGACTGCGGAACACTGGGGAGGGCGTGAATTTAACCTCCCGGGTAGGGCTACCGTGCTCACCTCACTGCGAAACAAACGCCCGTCGTGCTTCCGACAACTTGGAACGGTGCTCCCAAGGAGCACGCCGGGACCAGCCCCGCCCGCAGCAGTTCTTCCCGCGGGGCCGGCTCGTTCCGGGGTGCACACGACGAAAACCGCGCCGGGACACCCGAATAAGCGGCTGCCGGTGCCGGACCCCGCAGCCCCGGGCGCCCGCGCTTCCCGTCCGCCGCGGGGCTGGGGGCGGCCGCTGCTTGGGGCAGTCCCCGGCCGGCCCTGCCCGCACGGTGCCCCTCAGTCACCTCCTGCCTCCGGCTCCGGGCTGGGGCCGTCCCCGCTCCGCGCCGCCCGCGGGCGCTCAGCAGCCGAAGGCGCCGGCCCGCGCCGCCCCGCCGCGCTCCCGCTGCCCGGCCGCGGCCATGACAGGAAGAGGCGGTGGCGCGGCCGGGGGCGGGCGTGACCCGGCCGGGCCATCTCCGCTCGGCTCCGTTCCACTCCAGCCGCGCCCGCCGGGATTCCCGGGGCAGCTCGGGGCACGGGCGCCGCCGGTGGCCCCCAGGCCAGCCTGGGCCTGGAGAGGTGCGGCGGGGCCGGAGGGCTCCCGGAAGCCCCGGTCGGGGGTGCCAGCTGCTGTCCGGGGCGGCTCCAGCCGGAGCCCCGGGTGCCCGAGCTCCGATGGACCGTGGGAATGTCAGCGGAGAGGGCAGCGGCCACGTGCCCTCACTGCGGCTCCATTGAAGTGGAAGTGTAGAAACACCGATTTGGGCTGTTCGTCTGATCTTTTTTCTACAAATAAACGAGTAGAAGTCGCCATGAGTTTGCATCATTTCAGATTTAGGCCCTTGTGGGACCTAATAAGTGTACTTATATGTGCCATCATAACCAAAAAAAAACCCAAAAAAACAAAAAAACCCCAAAACCGAAACAACCCAAAAAGCCAAAACAAATAAATAAATAAATAAAAGGCAAAAAAACCCCAAAAACCTGAGGGAAGTGTTAACACGTAATTAAGTGAGAGCACTCCCCAAGATCTTAACTCGTCCCAATTTTTATCTTATTTTTGCTTTGGATAAGGCTGCTTATAGAAATTGCATATTAGGCTGTTTTGTTTCACTAGGTAGTTCGTAAGCAGAGCCCAGTCTGATTTTTCAGTGGCAAAGGTGTGTGCCTAAGTGTAGATAAAAGACCAGTGAGCAGTTATTATAAGTCATTGCATGTCTCTTTGGAGTGCTCAGAGAAATAACACAAAGAAACTGTGCTAATTTAATGTCAAAATCAGTATAAAATTTGTAATTCATTATGACAAGCCTTAACTCATGACTGAGAACCCATGTCCTCACAATGTTCCCAATGACTTCTGTAAAAAAAGCAACTTGAAAACATTTACCTTTAGCAAAACAGTTTCTGGTGATCTTCTGTAAAGATAAATGGAGATCCAGACAGGGCATTCAACATATATACAGCTTTGCCTCTGCCTTGTAAAATTTCACTGTAATTGCTTTTGAGCGGCCATTCCTCATGGCTATAGGAACTTCACACATCTGAGATGGGATGTTACTCTTGTGCTAATCATAATTCTTTTATTAATGCCCTTTTTTCTCCATCAGTCAGGATCCATCAGCTATCAAATGTCACAAATGATAAATCTCCAGGGGTAGAAACATCTTTTTGCTCCTTTATTCCAAGTACCATGAAAACATCATCTTTATAAGCAATGTTGGCTAGACTCTGATAATGCAAATAATAACGAATATCAATATAACTCATAACCATCCTTTTTATTAATTAAATGCCTATTTCACAGTTTTTCAGATCTTAAATGCTTGATTCTTCATGTTCAGTTCAGGAGGCATTTTCTCCATAAGCTGATACTAGATAAACTCACAGGAGAAAAATCTGGACATTTCTGAGACTATCATGGCATGGAGAAGTATAATGCCATGATGCCTAGTCAATTCCTTAATCAGTCACAGATAAGTCATAACCCCTAAAGAACCTGAAGAATGCAATTTGAAGTGCAGGATGTGTCATCTCAATTACTGCTGTCACCTCAGAAGAGTGGGCCTTGGTAGTCCTGGCCCTCTTAGTTCCTTGCTTAGCATATTTACTGTTGATAAGTAATTGTTACACTGTTCTGCAATTTCAAAAAATGTTGAATTCATCCCTCTAAAATTCAGTGCTGTATTTGTTGTTGCCACCTCTTACTAACTAAAATTTCCAGTAGTTGTCTGACAAAACAGACACAAAGGGATTGAACAATGACTTTCAAGTCTGTCTCTTGTAACTAGAAATGTCAGTACCAAAAAGCTGTGGCATTTTTGGAGCTAACTATTTTGAAGGTGAGGAGTGTAAAATCCAAGAGAAAGACTGGGATTAACACACTCCTTAGTATCTCAAGAACTGTACATATTCACAGACAGTTGAAGTGACACAAAGTACAGAATGCATGTAGAAAATTGTGGAGTTGTGTTATTTTGTGTTCCAGTTGCGTTTCTTTTGTACGGGTCAGTTCTCTCTGTTTTTGTTCGAAATTTGTAAGTTGTTATGTCCTTTGTACCCCCCTCCCCTCTTCCCAGTTGGTGCTGCCCAACCCTTCCCGCCTTTCCACCCATGTCCGTCACCTGGCCACTCCCAATCACCCCACCAAACCACACCCTTATCCCCTCCCAGGAGCCCTGCCAGTCATCTGGCACCCCACCGTGACATCCAGAACCTTCCATCCAGGGCGTCGGGTGATTGGGTGAAGGCCCAGGGCCCCTCCCATTCTCTTACCCTATTGGCCCCCTTCTCCAGACCCCTCCCCAGGGAGCCACCCACTACTCTCTCCCATTGGTCCATGTTTTCCCCACCCCCTGCCCTATATAATCCCTTGCAAAGCTCTGTCCCATTGCCTTCTCTGGTTGGCATCGTGCTGTTGGCTTGGGTCCTCGTTTGCCTTACCCTCACATTGAGGGAGAATAAAAGGATCTTTTGCCCCCAGAGAAGGACGCTTCTGTCTCTGTCTGCACGTGGTTCTCGTCTGCTTCGCCTGAGCACCAAGGCCCCATCCCGAGCTCTCTGAAGCCCCCGACATTGGCCCAGAGGAGGGCTCGGGGAACCTGCTCGCTCTGTCCGGAGCTAGAGCCAGCCGGGATTTGACACCTTCCAGGAGGGAGCGTGGCAGAAAATACTGATTGTAAGATATATAATTTATTAGTAACATCATGGAAGTGCCATTGAGAGCTAGAAGACAGTGCCATTTAGGGATACTTCTTTGGCTTATTAGCTCTTTCAATGCCATTGCATTTTGTAGCTTTGGCTTCAGGAACAGTGCTTCTTTGGAAAGAAGCCAACAAAATCCAAACAGTCAAGGAGGCTCTATTGGTTTTTTTTCTGTTGGAATAGCAGAGAAATGTATATTCAGCTTCAAGCTTTGCCATCAACTTCCTGCATCACCTCAGGCAAATCTTCCTTTTGACCTATCACTGCTTTGATTGCTTAGCTCAAGCTATTATGTAACTAATATTCAGAGGAAAGTCGGAGAATTCCCAGAGCTGACAAGCTAAAGCTTTGTAAATTTTGAGCACAAGGCTAAGGAGGTAGGTATATTGTGAGACTGGAAATTGAAAATAAAGTGTACTTTCTGGAGCGGAAAAAGTTATAATCAGCTACACCCTGAAGGGGGTACTTAAGGGGTTTTTGAGTTGTTTTTTTCTTTCTCCTTCTTCTTGGTTTCATCTAGTTTTTTGAGAAACATTTGTTTATTGCATGACCACACTGATCTGATGTCATACTTTCACCCCAGCCAGGAACCTAGCCTCACGTGGCACTGGCTCCCTGCCCCACCAGCAGGCTTGGGAGAGAGAAGCAGAAGGGTAGAAGCTAGAAAGCTCATGTGTTGAGATAAAGACAATTAAATAGGGAAAGCAAATGCGCTCACAGACAAAGCAAAACAAGGAGTTAATTCACTTCTTCCCATGGGCAGGCAGGTGTTCAGCCATCTCCAGGAGAGGGGGACCCCTTCACACATAGCAGTTACTTGGTGCATTGGGTTTGTATGACCAAGCTTTGTTAGCAGAGGGGTTACAGGGGTGGCTTCTGTGAGAAGCTGCTCGAGGGAGTGATAGAGTGGCTTGGAGGGCTCTGGCACCCAGCCAAGCTCAACCCACTACATTTGGGAAGACAAATGCCATCACTCCAATATGTCACTTCCTTCCTCCTTCTTCCCCCCACTTTACATACTGAGCATGATGTCATATGGTCTTGAATGTCCCCTCAGTCAGTGGGGGTCACCTGCTCTGGCTGTGTCACCTCCCAAACTCCCATGGACCCTGAGCCCCCTTGCCAGTGTGGCAGCATGAATATCAGAGGAGGCCTTGCCCTGTGTAAGCCCTGCTCAGAAACAACAAAAACATCCCTGCATTATCAGCGCTGTGTACAGCACAAATCCAAAACACAGCCCCATACCAGCCGCTGTGAAGAAAATTAACTTTACCTTGGCTGAAATGAGCATGTCTGAGAAGGTTTCTGAATAATTTTTGGACATCATTTGCACTGCTATAATGAAAAGGATAACTTTGGTTATAGATAAGATGCTGACTATGGGGCAGTGATTATCACTTCTGCATGCACATGTTCACCCTTGAGGTACTTTTCTCTGATGATACTTAATCTGACATTTTAGCTGACTATCACTATGTCCTCATCTTTTCACTTCAGTCACAGATCTACATCCAGTTTTTCTCCTACAAAAAACATTACTTTCTTCATTAGACCTTCACTGTGTTTTTCTCCTTTGAAAAAAATAGGCTCTACTGCAACTACCTAATTTTTTCACCCCAGAGTTAAAATACAGAATTAATTACTTCTATCATTGACCTTTTCCATATTTTCTTCTTGGTCTGCTGTCACACAAATGTTGATTTCATTGCTTCTCTTCCTCTCTTATTATCCCTCCCCCTCCTATCCTGTGTGTCTACTTCATCCTGCCTTTTTTCCTTTCTATTTCTCAAAGTCCTTAAGTTTCCTCTCAAATAAAGGTAGGTAGTCACAAATCATCCCTGTCATAAAAACACCCATTGGATTTCCTTCCTGTACCTATCACTTCATCTGTTTTATTCCTGTCATCTCTAATCTCTCCAAACATGCCATTCAAAACTGCTCTAATCATACATCTCCTTCAGTATGGCTCAATCCTTCCTCCATCAGCCAGATATCACATGGATATTTCCACTTAACAATTAGGTATAAAAGCCTGTGTTTCGTCATTGGCTCTGACTGATGGACTCCTTTAGAAACTCTCATTCTTCTTCCCAAATCCGGCAAACACTTAAAAAAAACCCAGTGCACTTAAAAAAAAAATTGTCCTTTCCCATTTCTTCTTCACTTTTGCTTTTTGAATCTTTAATGCTGGCTACTCTTTCTTCTGCTGCTGGGGATGTGCTAGGTTTCAGTTTTTTACTGGCAAGATATTGTGCCCTGGATGCTCCTATTGACAAATAGTTTTGAATATCATCCATGACTCATGTTTTCATGTTCCCTCTTTTTTTATTCCCACTTGATTGTGTTGAAGTTTACTGCTTTTAGCACAGGCCTACTAACAGTTCTCTCTGCCTGTATGACTTAGGCATGTCCTGTCTCTTGTGACCCCTGCAGCTTTGTTTATGCAAAGTGCTGCTGCAAAGAGGCATCTCTCTGGCTTCTCATTTTTACTGTGTTCCTTCTCTTCTTAATCCTCTAGTGTTGCATTTCCTCTTTTGTTGAACCAAAGACAATTTTCTTCTCAGTCCTAGAAGATCTTTGCAGTATAAGCTTCCTTCATACTGGCTTAACCTATTATCATTGTCAGGAGGTTAACTTCTTTTCTTTTGTCGCCCTGGCAGACTCCCTCTGAT